TTAATGGCAAATGCACCTTGCTCACTCCTTATGGTCTCCTTGTGTCCTCAGAGATAAAAAGCAAGTGGACTGGGTGAAAGCTTATCTGAGTATCTGGACAGAGCTGCAGGCCTATATCAAAGAGTATCACACCACAGGGCTGACTTGGAGCAAAACAGTAAGTGCTGGCTTCATCTGCAGGAGCTGCTGAGATGAATATTGCACGATTATTGCAGCAGATATGGAGCTTGTGCAATTGCCTTTCCTCTTGCTGGTCTCTTACAGGGCCCTGTAGCAACAGAAGGGGCTAAATCTCCATCCGCTCCCCCAGCTGGGGCTGCGCCTCCCCCACCAGGCCCTCCTCCCCCACCGGCTCCTGCCCCCACGAGCTGCAGCACAGATGACTCTGCCTCCCGCTCCGCACTCTTCGCCCAGATCAATCGAGGAGAAGGCATCACCTCTGGTGGGTGGAAGAAGCTATCGGAGGGAGGGCAGCTCGAGTGAGAGCACTGCTGTGTTGTGAACCCTTGTTTTGCTGCTGTCCCTCAATACACCTGCTTGGACAGTAACAAAAGACCATCTGGTCTGAGGGTGAGGCTGGGAGCCAGGAGCAGCCCTGAGGCAGCTCACAGGGACAAAGGGAGCACATCTGAGTTAGAATTCTCAGCCTCATCTGTGGGTGTAGCAGGAGATTAACCTCTAGCTGGAACAGAGAGCGAAGCCTTTGGTTGCCTGCACATCTCAAGTACAAAAGGTGCAATTTTGCATCTATTTGTATTTGCACAAAACTCCTCCCTTGTGTGTGTTACCTGGTTGGTGTATCAGACATGAAACAAAGGCAAGGTGCTTGGCTCAGGGCTTTTTCCAGCTGCAGAGTGGAAGAGCTGGTGCTTTCTGGTTCTACAGTACATCTTGTGCTCTCATCACTATTGTGTCACGTGTTTCTTGCTGCCTCTCTCACTTGCTGTCACTCATACCTGGGCTCAGCTCAGGCCCAGTCTCAATCATTTATTTGTATTTTGAAAAACTGTAACCGTGCTGGTTGTTGTGATCGCTGATGTCTGGTGTTTATGTAACTGCATTCTTGGAGGAGAGCTGGATCTCACGCTGGACTTCTCTTGCAGGCTTAAGACATGTTTCAGATGATATGAAGACCCACAAGAATCCAGCACTGAAGAACCAAGGGGGTCCTGTGAGAAGTGGACCCAAACCTTTCACTGCTCCCAAACCAGCCTGTAATGCTAATCCCTCCCAAAAAACCTCTCCAAAGGCACCTCCGTTGCTAGAATTAGAGGGCAAAAAGTGGAGAGTGGTGAGTAGCTGGTGTCAGCATGAGTGGGATGGAGGGATGGGAGCTCTGCAGCAGGGAGGGAGGGTCTCCTGAAGACCTTTCTTGTAAGAGGCACCAGCCTGAAGGTACACAGCAGTTTGCTGTTGAAGAGGCTGCACTGCCCTGCTGTTCACATGGATTAATTTGTCTGTGTTCCAAAAATAAAGTGCCTTTTCCCTGCCTTTTCAGGAAAACCAGGAGAATGCCTCTAACCTGGTCATCAGTGACACAGAGTTGAAGCAGGTAGCATATGTTTTCAAGTGCACAAATAGTACACTCCAAATCAAAGGCAAGATCAACTCCATCACCCTTGGTAAGTGGAGAGACCCTGAAAACTCTTTCTGCCCGCTGGTCTGAAGGCTGAATCTCCAAACCCTTTCTGTGAGCTCCTCTGTCTTGTCTTTGCAGATAACTGTAAGAAGCTAGGGCTAGTGTTCGATGACGTGGTGGGCATCGTAGAGATCATAAACAGCAAGGATGTTAAAGTTCAGGTGAGTGTCTGCAACCTGTTCTCTGCCTGCAGTATGACTGATGCGCTGTACGACAGGGCGTCTGTCACATCTGCTGCTTCGAGTAGTTTTATTTCCAGAATCTGTGGAGAACATTCATGAAACACCATCTGTCCTACAGCTCTGCAGCTCACCCTGCCCAGCCTTTAGGAAATTTGCCTCACTGAGCTGCTTCAAGGCTCTAGATAAAAGATTAGTCTGTGTGAGGTGGGCAGTGCAATGTGAATACCAAAGCAGGAGGCCAGCAGTAGAATCACCTCTGATTCCATGTTGGTGTCTGATTTGGGATGGTCACTTTGCCCAGTGTTTGCTGTAGTTTTGTTCTAAAGAGATGAAAACAAGAAATAACTTTGGATTTTTGCCAAAGCTGTGAGCATTTGAATCCAGCATGTCTCTAGCAGAGAAGTTGGTAGTCAAACCTCTTGCCTTGAAGGCAAGTGCAAAAGAAAAATGTTGTGGTTGCCCAGTTCAAGCTGCTGCTCCTCTAACTGCTGCTCTGACCCCCCTGCTAGGTCATGGGTAAAGTGCCAACGATTTCCATCAACAAGACAGACGGTTGCCACGTGTATCTGAGCAAGAACTCCCTAGACTGCGAAATCGTCAGTGCCAAGTCCTCAGAGATGAATGTCCTTATTCCCACAGAGGCTGGTGACTTTGTAAGTGTTAACTTTTGAAATCCTTGTGGTTTGCTTGGGGTAATGAAGGGCAGGATTCGTATTTTGAACCCTGCAGGGAATGTCCCGGTTGCAGTGAGGTCTGGAGGGATAATTCTAGACTCAGAGGTTGAGAATGATGATCAGATGCTAAAAGCAGCAGATGAAGTTGTTTATCTTTCCAGTGAGATTCTTGCTGTTTTGTGAGACTTTTTTCTTCCTCAGGGTCTCTGGGGGGTGGAACAGGCAGTGTTTGTGGTACAGGAGGGAACATAGTGTGTTATTTAAGAAAAGCAATGCCTAAAGCAGTGGGAGTAGTTACTCATCTCGGTCAGTTTAAACTCTTTTGACAACAGATTTCTTTTTTTTACCCTCCAGACTGAATTCCCTGTCCCAGAACAGTTCAAGACAGTGTGGAACGGTCAGAAGTTGGTTACCACTGTGACGGAAATAGCTGGCTAAGCAGAAAAGCTCCAAGGCTCATGCCCTTCCCTGGCCCTGCTGTGGGACAAATCTGCTTTCAGATGATTCTCTTAGATTTCTTGTACCTTTCTGCTCTCAAACTGCTTCTCTTCTACCCGAGAGACACAGCTACCTGCCGTCACTGAAACACCTCTGCCTGGGGTTTGGTGTAGGTGGTGGGTCAGTTATTGTCCACATCTATTAGCAGGAAGGTTTGGTTTTGGTTGGTTTTTTTTTTCTCTGTCCCCTTGTCTGATCTAACTGCACCCAATTGATCAAGTCAGATTTTCAGTGACCTTCACAGCCAGTACTGGCAGTTGGCTTTCAGAGTGTTGTTCAGTTTTTTGTTTTGTTTTATTTTATATTGCCTTTAAGCAAACACTTAATGTGAGAGAGGAATGTTGTTCCCCTTTTAACAAATAATGGTTTATGTCAGGGTCCAGAGTACCCAGTTGCTATGGCAGATGTCTCAAGAAGGTCTTGGAAGCTGCCAATTCCAGCTCTATGTAGTAGTTGGTGGCATTACAGGACATGGGAATAACTTTGTTGGACCAAAGGCTGAGGACTTGGGCCGTAGCATTTCACCCTGATTTCTCTTTCATCATTCCTACTAGATCAGTGTATTTCTGATTGTGCCATGACAGGAGGCTTTCTGTTAACCAGTGCCACAGGAGACTGCAGTGGAGTAACTGCAGTTACCCCCCCAGGCAGTCTGGGTGGTAGTTTGGAGCTGAGAACCTCTTATTCCATCAGCCTTCCACCCTCACAAGGGAGTCTTTGCCCCAGGGCTTCCTTCTTGGAGCAGCTGAACTCAAGTTCAGTCTTCCAGGACAGTTCTTCTGAACCTGTCCCCTTCTGCAGAGGAAGGGTCTCCTTCATTCCAGGGTCAGTAGTGCAGTATTGTAAATACCAGAGTTGGATCAAGTCGGTTCATCACTCTCTTCCTCATCTGCAATCAGTCCCCATAAAATGAATCCTCTCAATCTCCCCTTTCCCCTGTTGCTTGGCTCTTTACTTTGGTGGAAGCTTGTAGCCTCTGTTCCAGGGCCCTGGAGCAGAGTGGTGGATCTAAGACACACAGTACTGTACGGACCCATAAAGGGAGCTGCACATGCTTTGACCTTCATTTTTCCAATGCCTCGGGTGGCATAAGCGTATCTTAAATGCATTTCCTCTGTAAAGTGTCAATGTTCTTTTTTCTCTAGGACAAAACTTACAAAAAAAAATATGCAATTTTTTTTTTTTTTTAATTTTGAGACTGTCCTGTGACTTGTACTTGTCTTCTCCTGAGGCTTGTGAAAAAAACCTTTCTTATGTACTTAAAATTATACAGAAGATAGAATAAAGTTAATGCCAACTTGCTCATTACAACGGGTCTTGTTTACTCTTTGGGGGCACACAGGACCTCAGGCAGGACAAGATGCCCCTTGCTGCCTGACCCTGCTAGACTGCTGTGAATACTTTCCCCATGGGGGGGAGTACAGAATTTCCTCAACTCCCCTCAAATCAAATTGCCAGTAGTTGTCAAATAGCACCCTTTTTTTTTTCTTTTGAGTTGTTTAGATGTAAAGTTCTTTATTGATTTCAGTTGCTGTACAAAAGTGCATAAAACAAGCCATTAGTTGAAAACTGTTCAAGCTGTTAATACCTGCTTAATTCAAACCCCTAAATTTGGCCCTTTTCCCCATCTTGAAGGAGAGGCTGTAATATTTTTCCTCTGCATACAGCCACCTAAGTCTACGTGCCGGTTCCCTTAAGAGATGTGGCATTGTTACACTAGTGATTTTGGTTAATACTGTCATTGCATCCTGCAGAGAACAGGTGACAGGGAAAATAAACTGCTCACAACTCATCATTTTACCATCACCAGGTGACGGGCACAGCCACAGCTCTGAGAACCAAACCAAACAAGGCCTGTGCAGGATGGAGTGCCTCAGAGTTAGTGCAAAGCTCAGTCCACCCATATCTGAGCATAATTACATCTCTTCCTACAGTGTAAGGGCTGCTGAGCTAAAAAACCCTCCTCTTCCCATCCCCTTCCCCACATTCCCCGCAGGTTTGTCCACAGAAAGTGCTGTTGCACAGTAGCAGCTGCATTAACTACAGTGATAGACCCTCCCCAGTGCCCTTGCAGGGTGCCTCCCCTTGGCTTCACTGGAGGAAGGGGAGGATGGTGGTGTAAAACCACTCTTCTGAGAAGTGCAGGTGATCCCCTTTCACCCCTAGGAACACCAGTTTTCCTGCTTTGTCCATCTCCTGCAGCCCCAGGCGATCCTGCAGAGAAAAGCAAGACCAGAGCTTCCTGGGGCCCTGCCACAGCCAAAGGCTGAGGAACCCAGCACTGGTGGTCAGGGACTCTCGTTGGAGCAGAAGTGGCTGGCAGACTAGAGTGGGTTCCACCTCTGCTCTTCAAAGCTTTTCCTCATGGAGGAAAAAGGCATTTTGGATGATTCTTACAGAAAGGGTTTAAACAGGAGCTGAGTTCATTGAACACATGCTGAAGGGGATCTTGAGCCAGGCGTAAGCTCACCACTGATAATTCCCACTGCCAGAACTGGCCTGGAGAGAAATGCTTTCCCAAACAGCTCCTGGCAAGAGGAGGCCATGCCCCAGGAATGGCAGAGATGGTGAGTAGAGCACAGCTTGTAGGGTTTAGAGCTCCTCAAGGCCCCAGGGACACTACAGAGTGGAAATAGCAGAAACCCCTTAGTCCCCAGAACGTACCTCTGTGTACAGCGAGGTCTCCTTGAGCGGGATGGTCTCCTTGGCTTGGCCACTCTTGTAAAACCCAAACCACTGTCAGAATAAAACCAATAAAACAGTTGCTGAAGGGCTCCCAGGAGACAAATGTGCTCTCACCAGCTTCTGCTGGAGACATGCTACTGCAGACAGGGCAGTATCAGGCCTATGTTGGTTCTCAGCCTGCTCCTCACCAGCCTCAAGTTCTGCCACCAAAGGGCAAACCAGAAACGAGCAAGCAAGAATCAAAACACCACCCAAAAGCAGCACCCACCCTGCCTGCCTCACCTCGGAGATTGGAGGGTCGACCATGGTATCATTGAGAAATTTCACCATCACAAACTTTTTCAGAGCCATCAGGTTTTTCTTGTACGTCTCATTGATGCCCTGGAGGAAAGCAACAAATCAGTGGACAGGCCCCTGAGACAGGTCAGGGAAAACATCTGCTCCAACTTGCCCTGCACCTGCAAAGGGAACCCTGGACTGCACCAGCTTAGGAGGCAGGAACGTGTATTTCTGTCACCAGGCTCCCTTGGCTGTGCTCATGGCATCCAGCCTCAGCTTCAGGCTGTAAAGAGGGGAGGGAGGGAGAGGATTTGCCCACTTGAATGGTGATGGGTGGACTGAGCACGTGGCATATCTACACCACCCACTCCAAAAGAGTGCAGTGACACAGGGTCTGCTCTGCCACAGGTAAGTCTCGTTCATAAATCTACCAGCAGAAACACTCTGTACATTCCTGGGATGCAGGGCAAAAACCACTCCCCTTCAAACTCCAGCAAAACTACTGCCAGGGAGAGCTAATGTGAAGGAACACGCTGCTAAGGCTTCTGCTCTCCTGGTAGCATTTAATCCATCAGCCAGGTCCTTACCCTCTCCTGATTTATGTCAGCCAAAAAGATGCTGTTCTTCCTGTAGTCCTCCTCCTTCAGAGGGTCGTGCCAGTACTGTGCTTGTACCAAGCTGGAGAAGAGAGAAACTAAGGATCAGACCAGAAACCCAGAGCTTCTCACGTGGGCCTGGCCCCTGTCGTTGCAGCCTGATGCAGATACTCACTGCTCTTGAACAGCTTGTGTGTAGGCGCCCAGATCCAGCGTCTTTCGGATCCAGTCACAGATACGGGAGCTCTCACCAGGACAGCGTGGAAACCCATAAACACCTGGGGCACAGAGACACGTGTCACGGCTCGGTGAGCCAAACTCAAATCCCTTAATCCCTCTGGCTGGTAAAGAACCACCCTCTGACAGAGCAGCAGCAAGAATTACCCAGGGAATCAGGTGGCTTTTAATCCTGCAATCTCATTAGACAGCCCTCCTGCCCCTGGGTGCTGTTGCACACAAAGATAATGGATGATGTTCTTGAGCTGAGGGCATTGCTCAGGAGAATGGGAGCTTGTAGACAAGCAGGATGCTGTCCAGCTCGCCTGGCCTTCCCAGGAGGTCTCAGCAGGGTTCCCTACAACACCTTCCACTACACTACAAAAAAATAGACTCAAGCCATGGAATGTCTCAGGGGAGTATTTGAAATTCATTGCCAGCCACTCTTCACCACACATCTCTTAAACCCCATTTCATACTCCTCTTGAATCTACTGCAAAAAGCACCTCCCTTTCCTTGGGGCTTTTTTAACCTTCCAGATGCCGATTGTAAAATATCCCTGTGACCCAGAAGGTGTGGTTTCACAAAGGCTTTGCTCTGCAGTTAGAAATTTCTTCTCCTGAAACAACTAATCCCAAGTGCTTCCAAAGGACATAAGAATTGTACCCAGACAATAAGTCATCTACTTACAAAGGTCCCTTCTCATCACCAGTTAAGCAAGACCAAGACAGTAGTCAGCTAACAACTGGGCCAAAGCAAATCACCAGATTGAGACAGGAACAAAGGGACAGCTTAATCCATAAGAAAATGGTCAGTTTTTAGGAAGGGGAGCAAAAAAAATCATTCCTCCTGCCAACAAGAGCCCCCCACCCTTCACAGTGGTCAGCAGGTACCATAACTTCAGAGGACACTACCTTGGTGCTGCCCTCCAACGGAGATCAAATTGAGCATGGGAGGAGAAGGACACCTCTGGGCCACCGCCCTCCTGTGGAGAAGGATGAAGGAGTTAAGATGGTGTTCAGCACACCCAGGCCACCAAAGCTGGTTCAGAAGCAGCTCTCAGCTTGTCACTGAGTGGGCTCAGGCACTTGGGTAATGTTTGGAAAGAGAATTAACCCCTCCTGGTAGAGTTGGGCTACAGGGAAGCACGTCCCAGCACTCCAACCTTTATGAAGGGGTTTGTCAGTTTATATTTGCTTAGTACTTGAGAAAAGTTTTAAATCAGAACCTAAAAGCCAACCAAAAAATCACTGGAAATGGAACAGAGAAGTCAACTCACAGGAACTGGCCTCCTTGGGAGAAGCCCATTGCATTGTAGCTGCCTTTCAGGTGAGGGTCCTTTGCGAGCTGGCCACACACCTCCCTCACTTGATCGTTCACGTTCATAAAGAAGCTGTTCTCCATATCCTGGTGGATTACCCAGATTAGAAGGTGTAACTTGTACCTTTACATCAGCTGCTGTTATTTTAATCTCTACAAATAGATAACTAACAGTTCTGCTTTTGAAAGAGGATCTTAACCTTGACAGCGTGACAGAAGTGAAATTCAAGTTTTGAGACTTCCCTTCATCATGTTTTTGTTCCTGTTCTGCCTGGCAAAACTGTTTCATACACAATGGTGACACCTCCCCAAAATTCTTGACAATCTGAGTCCCTCCAGATTCTGTGTGTGTATATATATATATATATGTAAAATAAAACTCAAACCTCACCCATCTTCTCCAGATCCCAGAAAATAAACATACATTGCACATTATCCACAGAGACTATCTAAAGACATTCCAGTGGGCTGCATAAAACTGATAGAAACCACAAAGGTGCAGAAGTCTGTATCTTTCTTACACTGAAGATGTACAGTTGTAATATAATGAACAGTTGTAAATCAAACAATAAACAGTTGTGAATCAAACAATAAACAGTTGCAAATCAAATGATAAACAGTTGCAAATCAAACACGATGGCAAAGGATCAAGCTTTGCTTTAGCACAGTAACTTATCACAAGCCTTTGTATTCCCTGGAGTGGTTAGAGTGCTAATCAGTCGATTTGCATATCAATCCAGTTTTGACTAGGGATTTGTTTTTTCCTCAGTGCTTTTCCACAAGTATTTTCTAGTCTTTATTGGTTTCTACCTGTCAAAGGTGTTCACTTCATAAAGAAGGAAAAAAAAACAGCAGGGAAAGCACGACGTGAATGCTTGTGGAACCACGTTAGTAACAGAGACTGCAGTAACTATCACACCTGCAGATCCACACACCGGCCACCACCTCACCAACCAGAACCACAGCGACAGCGGAGTCACTTACCTGGATCAGGTTGTTTCCAATCTTGAGAGACAGAACATAAATCCCTGGGATTTTATTCTCCACTATTTTTTTAATGTAGCCCATGCTTTGTGGATTGCAGCAACTGTCTCCTGTGAAAGGGAACACCGCGACACCCTGTCACGCCACCGCCCAGGCCCTCACCTCACCTCCGCAACCACCACACCGGGAACCCTCCCTGCTGCCCCCGGGCCGGGAGCTGCCA